GTGGCAATACATTTTCTCGGAAACAACAAGGCAGAAACTACAGGTTGTTGTTGGAAAACCTCTTCAAGGCATACAAAAGCCTTGGTTGCAACATGTCACTAAAGATACATTTTTTGCACTCTCATCTAGATTTTTTTCCACCGAACTGCGGAGCAGTGAGCGACGAGCACGGCGAGCGATTTCACCAGGACATTGCAACAATGGAGAAACGCTATCAGGGCAAATGGAGCCCATCAATGCTTGCAGACTATTGCTGGACAGTAACAAGAGATGCTCCATTTAATGCATACAAGAGACAAGCCAAGAAGCGCCGAGTAGACACTGAATAGGACTAAACTATGTACATAATAGTTTTTTGCCTTTTGTTTCATAATAAATTGTATTCATATAACCCTTTTGCTGATTTTTAAAGGGTTACATAAACAGGACAGGTGAAATATTATCATGTAAAGCAACCGTAAACACATGAAAAGACCTAGGTTGACAATTTATTATTAAAACTCTACTATCTACACAATATACATAGACATAAAATGTCAAAACTTAAATATCTTGGAAACAGTAGCCAATCAGTTGTTTTAATTGTCATATTTGAATTCAGCACATCAAAATACTTAATAAATAGCACATTTTATCTTTGAAGCAGACGACTTCTAAAAAATTGTAGACCAGTGTTATTTGAGTGCCTACTGAATCTGTATGTTTGTCTATATCTGTAAACTAATATTCAATAGTAAACTCCTCTAAGTTGTATAAAGATTTGAATCTCATCACAGAATTCATATTTACTGGCACTTTGTTGAAGAATTTGCATAAAGATGAAAAGAGCTATTACAAAAGTAGAAGACTGCAAACTACATACTATGGGAAGAGATGTCTTAGAAGAGCCTATATATATATAATATGGGGCTAGGGCAAGGCACAACTGTGGTGTGTGGTATATTATGATATTTATGTGTTACCTTTACTTTATTGAATAAACTTCCTTATGTGCTGATACCGACAATTATGATAATTCCCCCTAAGCTAAATTGGATGTAATTTAATGCTAGTGTATTCTCTGAGTACAACATATCCTCACAAAATCATTTTTCTAAATTATATTTAGAAATTATATTTTAACTCCCTGTATGTATGTAAATATACTCTTGTAAATCTCAATAAAATCAGCCCTAAAAGAAGCAAAACAATTTATCAGAACATACAATAACTTTCCATTGTAAAACATACAAGGGGGGTTGTTACTTTTTGCAGTCAACTATTTTAGTATTTGTTTGCAGTGAAAGCTATTGAAAATATACTTAGACTACTGGTTAAATAATTTACAGGAGTGGGCAAGCTATAGCCCATTGGCTGGATCTGGCCCGTTTATCCTTTTAATCCAGTCCGCAGCCCACCTCTCCGGGACCCTTGGGCACAGAGCAAATCCAAGCCTCTCTAAACAGCTGGCTTCTCCATGTGACTTTCCATGCCAGATGCAGGGGAGTGATGGAGGCTTTGTGGGAGCTGAGATATTATGTTGGGTTTGGGAGACTGTGTATGAAGCCTACCCCTTTCAGCCTCCCCAGATATGCAGCACAAAGAGCCACATGGAACAGCCAGCTGCTTTTAATTGTCTGGGGATGCTAATGGGCAGGGAGACTGCCTATGGGTCCCACTGGGCTGCTGGCTGGGAAATGCCTAGGTAAGTGCCTCCCAGCCGGAGCCTACCTCTGGAACACCATCCCTTCCTGCCCCAGGTTACTGTCAGCCGATGGTCAGGGCTGTGTGTGTGTGTGTGTGTGTGTGTGTGTGTGTGTGTGTGTGTGTTACACCCGAGTCTTCAACTGCTTGTATGCAATGTCCCGTCGCAGCGGGCAGCCTAGGGAGGCTGACGGGTGCCCCGAGAAATTTAACGTCCATGTCTTTAACCACTAGGACCGGGGTCCCTCCGCGGTGGGCAGCCAATAGGCTGACAGACTCCCCAGAGTTTACAGGGAGAGCTTATTACATCTCAGATTTTGACTGCTAGGATACATGATCCCTTCGCAGTGGGCAGCCTAGGGAAGACTGAGAGATGCCCCACGGATCTGTCCTCTGGAAGCGACACGATCCAAAAGCCCAAGTTCTCCCTATACCTGTCCCTTATGACTAGCTGGAGTTCTTTTAAATTGTGCTTGGTTCTGTTACAGCAACTGAAGGAGTCAGGTTAAAACTTAACCAGTTACAGGTTTATTAAAAAGGCTTATAAAGCATGTGGTTACAATGGCTATTTCTCTACTTCTTAACTGCTAGCAAATATAGATCTTAAAATGGTTACAAAGGAAAAAGGAAGATAGAAAATAATGGTACCAAGTGACAGCTTAATCTTTAAAGAGCTCTAACACTATGTATATACTTAAACAAAGGACACATACAGGTACAATTTTTACCCCCTTCTGTGCTTCTTGACTCCAGCGGGTCAGGCCAGGGTCGGTCCCTCAATTCCTCGGAAAGACGAATATGAGGTGGGCGTCCCCATGGAACCTCGGGAAGTCAAACACCTTATCCGGCCAACAGGTAGATGGCAGATCGACGCTCAGAGTGAGTGTGCTGCTGGACCATCTTTATACCCCTAGGGGCCCATTTTCTTTCTTATCTAAGATGCCAAATTGTACTGGTCCGTTTTTGTGACGCCAGTTCTTACAAAGGAGTTTCAAAGAATTTACACTTATAAGAGAGAGAGAACTAAATTAGGAGTACTGGACATTCTTTGTTGTGCATTACAAGGGAGTTTCAAATAATTTACACTTGTAAGAGAGATAACTAAATTAGGAGTACTGGTCATTCTTTGCTGGGCGGGAGATCCCCCCCCCCCGGACGAGTGTGTGATCGTATCAATATGGGTTTCAGTCAAGGGCACTCCTCGGCAGCCTCTTGGTCAGCAATTAGTTCGACCACCCTCTTACCTCTGCTTACAGTTGTCCAGGGTCACTGGGTGAGCTGGCATATCTGTGCCTCCTGTCAAGGCTTTCAAAGACTATGCTGTTTTTACTGCTCTGTGTGCCCTGTATGCTTCCAGGCAAGCAAAGATGGATGATACGGGGGACGGGGGGGTTTCAAGTCTGGCTACAGTTACCGCTCTTTTCTGCCCCAGGTTACCATCCAAACCCTCTGCACCCTCCACCTCCTAGAGTTCACAATTTCCTTCTAGACCCTGCATCCCCTCCTATACCCTTTTTCCAGGCAAGAATCCTCTCTTGCATGCATACTCCCCTCCTGGACTCTGCACCCCAATACGTTGCCACAACCCCCTCCTTGACCCAAACTCCCTCCCAGACCCCACACCCTCTCCTGCACCCCAGACCCTTACCCTTAGCTTCTTTCTGCACCCCCTCCATATATAAGTCCAGCCCTTTCCCACTTACCAAAATCTTGAATTGCTCTCCTCATCAAGAATTACTACCCATGTGTGCTCAAGAGTACCTAGTGGTTCAGCTGAACCCGCGCTAGAAGGCAGGGCATGGGGGTAAGGGAGCAATCTTATTTAGGACTACATAGTGCACTTCTCTATTTGAATATATTTATTATGGGATTTAACACCATAGAGTAGACTTATGTGAATTTTTCATGTAGGAATTGGAATCTTTTGACACTTCAGTTTTTGTAATTGTTTGAATTTGTATCAGTGCAGAAAATGAACAAGAAATCTGCAAAAGATCTTGTACATTTAAAGACAAGTGTAAGCCAGTAGAAAAGCCACTACATTTATTCTTGCCTTTTGATTAAACCTTATGTTTAGTACCATCTGTCATTTTTTGCTAATTTGCTAGGGTTTTTTTCCTTTTTGCTTCAATAAAACTGCTACTGACTTTCAACAGTATTCATCCTGAAGAACACTAATGTTTGCAAAACAAAGCTAATGATTGGAAAATGTCAGAAGATAGACCCAAAAGCTGTACAAAATATTTTTGTCCCTGGGATTTTTACATTTATTTGACATCATATATAGAATGTATTGTTTCCCACCAAGCAAAGTCATTTTCAAAGTAAAAATTATTTAAATAATTTCACCTTTTTTGCTTCTCTGCATGTGTGCCGATAATTTTTCTATAAATTTTAAGTCTATTTTACCTTATATTGTCATTGCATATAGATTAATGTGCAGATTTTGCTATTTAAAATTAGATTCTGCTGTTATGAGTATAAATAGTACAGTACATATTATGGAAAGAGGGGACATATAAATAGCATATACTGTAGAAAATGTATATAGCACAGGAGTATGTGAAGTGAAGGTTAAAAAAAACTAGTGTCTTAAAGGAATTAGGTGGATGTGATTCCTTCAAGTAGTGATTTGGCTTTTCTTGAGAACTGTTTTAGTTTTTTCCCTTTGCATACAGATTCTTTAACCTTTGCACCACTAAGATGAAATATCTATATAATGTTCCTAATCTTATTATCTTTTTAATGTTGTCTTGGCACTTTGACTTCTTCCACATTATGACTTCCACCTCTTCACATCAGTGTGTGAATTTCTTGTGGGGGGGAGGGGATTGCTTTTATGTTTTAAACTACTCAGAATTTCCATCTGCTTTTACTTGACTTGTGGTTGTGAAGATCATGCTTGGCCCATGGGATCTTCCAGTGTGCCGAGAGGATGTGGAATTTTGTCAGCCAGTGAAATATGTCTGGGTTTTTTTTCTCTGCAGCTTTCATATACTTCTCATCTTGTGTGGTCCCACTAAACTGAGTATATTTAACAGAACTACTCACCCTCTCTCTTCTTCTGTAAGTTACCTTCTTTTATTCAAAAGGTGTGTGCAGGAAACACGAGAGCCAAAAAATATAATCCTGGCTAAAGGAAGATACAGAGTAGCGTTATATAGAAAAGTACTCCAGGAGTTGCACATTTCTGTTCTTTGGGTGCAGCAGAACATCAGATTTCAGTTGTATACAAAAGTTAGTTGATTTGTTACGTGTCAGAAAACCCCTCAAGGGTGTCTCCTGTTTTGAAATTGGTGTGCTGTATTTGTTTCCAGGCACTTCTGCAGTCAACAGTACAGAAGCAAGAAGAAGCCATTCAAAAACAGTATATAGCTGCAATTGAAAAACACTCATATAAATGTGAGGAACTGCTGAATGCTCAGGTAATACAACCACTTGTCCACACAGCCCACAGGTTTTCATAGACTAACTATATGAATATGTTTTGCAGAACAAAAAGCATTATGATTTTCATTCAGTTTCAGTGCATTTATTTTTCTGTTTTGTTTGTTTTGAAATAAACGTGTATAATAAAACTACCAAGTTTTCACTATAATATCTTTGAAATAACAGTAATTACGGGCAAAAAGAGATAGGAACTTAACCATAGCTCCTAAATCATTAGAGCTCAGTTGTGCATTATTGCTTTCTAAATTGAATAACCAAGATCCCAGAGGAACATAGCACTAAAGAGAAGAAAGCTTGGAATGTAATATGTATTCCTTTATTAACTGTATAATTTTCTGTAGCTGCAGAGAAAATATTCAATATTTCTTAAGCCTGAATTTTATTTACTATAATGGACTGCAAGCAAAGATCAAATTTCTATGAAACAGACATCAGTAGATGTTTTCTGCAACTTATAAAATGGTCATTCTAACATGTACTGTCAATATCTATTTTTATTTCCATTTAGCCACTGCAATTAATATGGCATCAATGATTTTTGTAAGTAGGTTGTATACGCATTTACAGCTGCTGATCCATGTTACTGGTCTGACTGACTGTTTAAACTATTGGATCTTTTAATTATTGGCAAAGTCTTGCTTGAGCTTAAGTAAAATTTAAATTATAAATCAAATAAACTCCATACATTACACCAGGTATATATTTTTCAGTAGGCTAATCTTGAAAAATCATGGTAAAGTTGTTTGCATTGCAGTTACTTTTAAATCTGCTAGGAACAATTTTTCTAAATGACTAGTAATAGTTATTGTTTGTTTCATTTTTCTATGATGGTAAATTAAGACCTAAGTATAGGAAGCCCCAAACTTATGAATGGATTGTGCTCCAAAAGTTTGTTTGTAAGTCAATTGTTTGGAACTCAGCACACATTTTTCCCATAGAAACAATGGTAGTTAGGTTCCCAGGCTAGCCCACAAAATAACCTTTTTAACCCATAATATGGCTGAAATATTGTATATTTGCAATTAAAATAATAGTAGAAATACTTTTTTATTTAACTTTGAATGCTGGTGCTTGAGGAAAGACAGGTTTAATTAGAGGAGGATGAGGAGATAGGTAGAGATTCTGACTTTTGGGCATCCCTGGATGCTATCCCCGTCCCCAGTGGATGCTGTGCCAGCTGCTATAGTCAACCCTATTCCCTCTCCTCACCTCCCTCCCTGTGGGCTGCACCCAGCCACTACTCACCAGCCATGTGAGCATGAGCCAGAGGACTGAGGAAGAACATAGGGCAGAAGTGCAGCTGGCAGGTGGAGAGAAGCAGTGTTTTCCCCTTCAGAGCACCACTAATCTCCAGCCATTGGCTATGTGACTGCCCCCTGCTACTTCTCACTCTCCCAGCAGCACTTGCACAGTTTGCCGCCACCTGTACCTGTTTCCTGCTTCCCCGAGGCCAGGAGCTGCCTTACCCTATGCAGCTGCATATTCTGCATATGGGTATCTGAAAATACGGGGCACCACTAGGTCTTAATGCCCACCTACCTCTTCCTATCCCCATTGTGTGGCCCTGTTTCCTCGGGAGAGAATCTAGTTAACTTAAAACAGAAAAGCCTACCAGATCTACTAACAGAACATTGATCCTGTGAAAGAGTCATGTAAGTGGGAATGCATAACGTGCATATGGCAACCCCAGTATATACTTTCCGTTTCTGAATTTACTGCGATAGTCTGTAAGACCTTAGGTTAAAAAGTTTGCTTTAAAAATATATCATTAGTATGTTGTTGAAGATTATAGAATCACATTGCTAAAAAAAAAATCATCATTTCCTTCTGCCCCCACACTACTGTTGGGCATACGGGCACCAGTTTAATAATAATTTGTAGGGCCCTATTAATCCTAAGGACATCAGTGACTAAGGCTGTAGGTGAGCTTTTGTTTGTATGAGCAGAAGTTTGTAAGTCAGATTCTTGTAACTTGGGGAGTGCCTGTACAGCAAATGTACACTTGAGAAATTATATGACACTATAATACAGAAATATAAAGATAATAACTTGATATGGGTTAATTTATTCCAAAATTCTCTGAGGTATTTTACAACTATCTCTTTGTTATGACTATATCCATTGAAGAGTTTGCTAAAAGCATGTTGTCAATTTGTGTAAATAGTATAATGGACAATGAAAAGCACTTTGGAAAAATAATTATTCAACTTCGGACAAGGGCACATGCCATGCCTAAAAATATTCTAAAATGGATTCAAATATTTGATTAAATATTTTGCCTTTTTCTGTTGCAGTATCCACAATAGTTGCAATACTGTTTTAATTTATTATTGTTGAATAGTAGGGCTAGATGAACTTCAGAAAAACTGGAAATTAGGTGAGAATAGACTTTCTTATAACATTGTTGGTACTCCTTGTTCTTCTCTGAGGAATGTCCCCCTGGGTGCTCCATCTGGAGGTGCGCCAGCACTGCTGTGCCTCTAATTGGATATTTTTGACAGCAGTGCCCCTAGTTGGCTTTGCAGGCGTAATGCCGGCACGCAGCCTTTGAAATGGCTATCCCACACGCACAGCCAACCGTCTCCTCAGTTCCTCTCTGACCACCACCAGCTTTGGTCACAGCAGAACAGTCGCCTTCACATTACCTTGTTATTAGTTCATAGGTAGAGTTGATAGTTAATATTTATTAGCATAGTTAAATTGATTACTATAGTTTAGGTTAAAAAAAATCCTTTTAATTGTTTAAACCATGGTTCATTATACCGCATATATATAGTCGCAGTCCCACTGTTAAGTGACAGTTCGGAAGAGACTGTTTTACTGGGACATGCCTGGCTCATCAGTATTTAAAAAGTGTAAGATTTCTGTATCAGACAGACACTTGGAGTATGTCCGCCATTTGGGTGAGAAGCACGACATGGAACAGTGCCCTGACTGTAAGAAGCTGATAGCTAGAACAATAAAAGTGAGGAAACTCCAGCTAAAAATGATTAGCATGGAGAAAACCTCACAGTCTGCCTCAGACTCTGAACATGGCACACCACCCTAGTAGGTATCCCCTGGAGCGGCATCTGAGAAAGGGGCTCCCACCAAGTCAAGTCTTGGGGACCAGGAAAGGGTACAAATACCAAAAAAGAGGTCCCTTTCTTCCTCAGAGTCTGTACTCCCCCAGTGAGGAAGCACTCTGAGTAAAAAAATCTGACTCCATGCTGATTCAATCTAAGGCACTTGAGAAACAGACAGCAAACGGAGCCGGCATCAAGAATAGCCGTGACCGCAAGGAGAGGGCCCTTCCTCCCTTAAGCCAAGCACAAAGTCGAAACACAACAGCTCCATGCCAGCACTGACGAAAGTGCTGGCAATGCAAAAAGCAGTACCAGATCTCATCACTATGAACTGATGGGTTTTCAATCCCCTAATACAATCCCCTTTACTTCTATGCCCCCTACGCAACTCCCCTCCCCGTTCTTCTTCAAGGACCCTCTCACGAGCCCTTTCTACAAGCAGAAGTGCAACAATTGCTCAGCTTGGGGGCAATAGAGATGGTTCTTCCCAAATTCCAAGGAAGAGGGTTTTATTCCAACTACTTCCTGACTGCCAAGAAGACAGAGGGGTTGGAGGCCCATTTAGATCTCAGGGAGCTCAACAGTTTTGTACGCAACAAATAGTTCAGGATGGTGACCCTGTGGACTATTATACCTGCTCAGGATGAAGTGGACTGGTTCTCAGCTCTTGACCTTGAAGACACATACTTTCATATACTGATACATCCTGTGCACAGGAAGTTTCTCAGGTTTCTCAGGAACTTTCTCAGACAACACCACTACCAGTATCGAGTTCTTCCCTTCAGACTTTCCATTGCACCACAGGTAATCTCAAATATTCTAGTCATGGTCACTGCATTCCTCAGGAGGCAGGGCACCTTCATATTCCCCTACCACTATAATTGTTTTGTCAAAGGCACTTTACTCCAACAAACCCTAATCATGACAGACATGACCAGAGAGACTTTCTCTCGCATAGGTCTAATAAAAAACACTCAAAAATCCACTCTGGGGCTGTTCCAGAAAATCAAGTTTATTGGGGCATCGCTGGATGCTGTGTCATCCAGAGTCTATCTTCTCTTCATCATTTTCAAACTCTGTGCGACCTCATTAATGGAGTCTTCCACACTCAGTTTACTACTGCTCATCCATGCCTTCAGATCTTGGGTCACTTGGCTGCTACCATTTTCATGGTACCCCTTGCGAGAGTACACATGCACTGCCTACAGGTGTGGATGGCATCTGTTTATCTTCCAAATTGAAACAACTTCACCAAACTCTCTCACGTCCACCATTAGTGCTGCAATCTCTGAAATGGTGGACCTTTCCACACAGCCTCCTCACTGGCATACCCTTCCACCGCCCAGACCTGTCAAGGGTAATCACAGCCCATCATTAATAGGCTGGAGTGTCCACTGCGGCATGCAGACAGTAGAGGGCAACTGGTCACATTTGGAGATGAGACTTCATATCAATATTTTGGAACTCAGGGCCATTTGCAATGCATGCATACACTTCCTTTCCCTCATTTGAGGCAGAACTATGTGTCCTCACAGGCAACACACCCTGTAATGTTTTACATTAACCGGCAAGGGGGTGCCCGATCATGCTCACTATGTGCCAAAGCAATCAAGTTCTGGAATTGGTGTCTGAAAAATGACATCAGACCAACAGTAATATATGTTCCAGGTCAACAGAAAATTACTGCAAACAAGATGAGCAGACACGACTCAGAACAGTACAAGAGGGAACTCAGTCTCAGCATCATCCTCCCTATCTTTGTGCAATGGGTTTTCTTAGTCATAGACTTATTTGTATCAGCATCCAACCGTAAGTGTTACCACTTCTGCTCCAGAACAGACTGAGGCAAGCGATATGCCTTCACCTTACCCTGGACTGCATCCCTCCTGTATGCTTTTCTTCCAACTCCC